GGGGGGGACTGGGCCCTCAGAGAACAGGGTGGGGAACAGATTCATTGTATCCTTTCATGCTTTTGAATGTGAACACAATGTGAATACAAAATATAAATACAATTAAAAGTGTAAAACAGAAAGGTCAGAGGAGTCACGGATTTTTACGACATAAGAATTTAAAAGCTTTTATGTTTATGGATGAAACGATTTCATCGCCTGGGGTTTGCTTTGAAATAATCCAGGTGAGGTGGGGAAGTCAGGGCTGGCTGCTCAATCCAGCACGATTTCAATTAGGGGAGCCCTGGCCCGTTTGGCTCCTTGCTCGTCGGACTGAGGGGTCCCGGGTTCGATTCCGGCCAAGGGCACGCACCTCGGTTGCAGGCTCGATCTCAGGCCCTGGTTGGGGCGGGTGATGGAGGCAGCCAATCGATGTGTCTCTCTCACATCCATGTTTCTCTCTCTCTCTCCCTCCCTCCTGCTCTCTCGAAAAGCAATGAAAAAATATCCTCAGGTGAGGATTTAAAAAAATATATATATAGGGGAAAATCAGGCCCTGGCCAGGTAGCTCAGTTGGTTGGTTGGAGTGTCGTCCCAATATGCCAAGGTTGAGGGTTCGATCCCCAAGGAGCTACCAGTGAATGCATACATAGAGTGGAACAACTAATTGATGTTTCTCTCTCTCTCTTTCTTCCTCTCTCTAAAAGTCAATTAAAAAAATAAAACATAAATAAAATAGGGGAACATCAGAAACCACCTTATGGCTCAGTCACTGGGGATCATGTAAATCATGTTTTACAAGCACTAGGAGAATCCGATTTCATTAAGTATTTAATAAGACCTTTCTAAGCATTACAAGAAGCCCAGCAACCACAAAAAGAAAGATTGAGGGATCTGACTACACAAAAGTAAAAATTTGCATTGCAAAACCCCACCACAAACAATAGCAAAAGGAGAACTTCCTACTGGGGAGGGGTGGGGACACATGCCTTTTCCTGGTCACTGCTAGGGCTCCGAGGTGGGGACGGTGTGAATTCATTATGCTGCTCTTATTAGTTTCGAGCATATTTTCAAATTTCTGTAATGAAGAGCTAACAATAATTTTAAGTATAGCCCGGCCGGCGTGGCTCAGCGGTTGAGTGTCGACCTGGGATCCAGGAGGTGGTGGTTCGATTCCCGGTCAGGGCACAGGCCCGGGGTGCAGGCTCCTCGGTCCCCAGCAGGGGGCGAGCAGGAGGCGGCCGATCAATGACTCTCATCATTGATGTTTCTCTCTCTCCCCCTCTCCCTTCCGCTCTCTGAAATCAATAAAGACATATTAAAAAATAATTTAGGTATATACAAGCTTCTCTATGGCAAAAGACAACTATCACACTGGACTATAATATTTGCAACACACAAAACAAAGGATTAATACCAACAACATTCAGCAAGGTCCTACAAGGCCACTTAAATAAAAGACGCCACAGTTGAAAACTGGGCAGAGGATTAGATTTAAAATCTCACGGGAGAGGAAATTTGAAAAAAGAAAAAGAAAAAAAAAAAAGGCCAGTCAACACATGAAAAGATGTTTGACCTTAGTCATATTCAGGAAACAATCGCAAAAACAGCGAGATGTCAGCGTTGGCCTTGACACTGGCAAGGGTTTAGCTGGCTGGTCACACCCAGCGTTTGGCCAGGGTGTGGGCCACCGGCACGTCCAGGGGCCCCTGGAGCGCTCGAGAATTGCTCAGAGCCCTCGGCAAAGACGGTTAAGAATTTAAGTGCCTCGACCTTTTGACCCAGGGGCCCCCCCGCTTTGGAGGAATTCACCCCGATCCCAGGGGAACCCGACCAGAACCGAAAGCCCCGCGTGTCGGCCCACAGGAAAAGCTACGCGCCAGTTGGGACGAGTGAATTCTGTCCCTACTGCGTTGGGGTGGTGTCCCTAGCCCATTGCTGTCTCACAGCAAGTGCCAAAGTAACACACTGACTGACTATGGCCCTGTCGTCGCAGGAACGCCCGCCGCCGGGGCACTTGTGCGGTGTCACCGGGGTTGGGGCGAGCGCAAGCTTGTGCCCAGTGGTCAACGGAGCTGCCTCGGTGAGGCCGGCTGGACGCAGGGCCAGGGGGAGGCGGGTGGGGGGACAACCATTTCTGTCCTTACGTACCTGGGAATTTTTTGAATTGTTAGAACAAACATATACTATTTTTGTAGTAACCAGCACCAGCACCAAAAACATTACGATACTATTTTTTTTTNATCAGGTAGCTCTTTCAACTTTTTGTACAAATTGTGCTTTTTTTTTTTTTTTTTAAATAAAGAGACCAGGCCCTGGGGGCGGGAGGGGGGCCGGCGCTGCAGCTGTGGGTGGAGAGGACAGTGCCCCAGTCTGCGCTTCCCGGAGCGGAGGTTTTATTTTTAATTTCTTATTGCTGTTGTTTTCAAGACTTCAGTTTGGGTGTTATGAAATTAATAACATTTTTTTTGAAGGGAAAAAAACACCCCCGCAAAGCAGCTTTTATTTTTATTTTAAATCCTTACCCGAGGATGTTTTTTCCATTGCTTTTCAGAGAGAGTGGAAGGGAGAGAGAGAGAGAGACAGAGACAGAGAGAGAGAAACATCAGACAGGACCGNCGAAAGCACCCGTGAGGACCCGCGAGAGCCAGGGCAGCCTGGAGCAGGGCTGGGCCCGGGCTGGGTGTCGGGGTGCTGGCAGGGCGTGACCCGGGCACTGTGGCTCAGGGAGGGGCCTGCCGGGAACGCCCGCTCAGCTGTCCTCCCGGTCCCCGCGCAGCTCACAGCTCAAGGCCAGGCGTTGTCACCCAGATAGACACCCGCCCGTTTGGCAGTTTGGACCCAGAGATTTCCCTCCAATCAGCGTGAACTTTAAACAGCTGACCGGCCGCCTGGCACTCGCCGGGCCCAGCTGGTGGAGAGGAGGCAGGCGGTGGCTGGGGACCCCATGGCGGGAATTTCAGAAAACGCCCCAAGGGGCTGAGTCCAGCAGCATCTGCGAGGGAGCCACCGCCTCGGAGGGCCGGTGCTGAGGGAGCGGGTCCGGCCACACTAACGAACGAAGTTCCAGAAACGTTTAGCAGGTGGCAGCTGGCACCCCAGCCTGCATGTTACACAGGCACCTCCCTGGAGAGCAAGGACGGCACCCTGGCCGGGTCACACGAGTTGCCCTCTTCACGCCAGACAGGGCGAGATTCAGGCGGCCTGTGACCACTGGGGAGCCACTCGGCGGCTTGGAGACGGGTCAGGCTGTGCCCGCCCGCCACAGGCCTGCTCGTCTTCAAACTCCTCTTCGTCAGGGAAGCTTCCAGACTCTACCACCCCCCTACGGCTTTACCCAGGGGTGGCCTCCATAACGGGCCTGGGACCCCACGGGCGGGCCGGGCCAGCAGTCACTGTCCCCACCATCCCTCTGCAGACCTAGGCTTTGAGGCCCACCCGGTCCCCTCCCCCAGGACTTGAGATCCACGTACCAATCTTCTCCCAGGGCACTGCATCTACACCGACTCCCCTTCCTCCTGCACACCCCCCCCAGCAGCCAGTATGGATGGAGCCCTCCGCGGTCCACACCCACTCTCCCAGTTAATCCTCACCACAGCCCCGAGGCGGGAGTCGCAGAGGCTGTCCCAGAGCTGGAGGGTGACGCCCCCTTCCACGACCCCCACTGGGCCAGACAACCCCTCCACGTCCCTTCCTTTCACCGCCTCAGTTGGGGGGCCTGGTGGGGGCAACTGCAAGCCCAGGCCATGTCTCCTTAGCTCCGGGCCCTTGGCCCCAGCAGGGGCGTCCAAACATGGAAACTCCTCCCTGGACTCGAGATCCCTCCACTGTCTAGACTCGCCTCTCACTTCCCTGTCCACGGGCTGGGTCAACCCTCGCCTCAACCCTTGGTCACAGCGCTCAGCCCCCTGGCTCCCACCGTCTCTGGGACGATGCTCATTTCCCCTCCCGCCCACTCCCAGGTTCCCAGCGGACGGAGGACCCACAGATCTGTGAGCACAGCCTCAGCGGTCCATTCATTCAGCAATTGTTTATTGAGTGCCGAGTCCCAGGCACTGCTCACGGCAGCTAGGACACGGCACCGACAGGAGACGCCCCCACCCCCACCCCGAGGGGCCCGCGTGCTAGCAGGGGACAGACAGTAACTGCAAGCCCAACAGCCAGGTGTGAGCATCTGCGGAAAGGGAGGCGGAGCCAGGAAGGGCAGGGGCGCTGCACGAGGTGGGGGTGCCACTTCGTCCACACGGGTGGTCTGGGAGGCCCCCGCTCCCTAATGGAAGGTAGCTTTAGTAACAAAACGCAGGAACTTCTTAAATCCTCTGAACTGAAAACACTTGTTTCTACCAGGAACAGGGGAGGGGGCTCAGCGGCTTAGAGGAGCAGGGGGAGTCTCACTGAACAGTCTTTATCCTTAATTTTTGAACTACGCGAACTAATTACCCACATCTCTGCTGGGCCTGGTCACGGCCCTGTGCTTGTCACAATGAGGAGGAAGCCGGCACTGCATGTCTCAAGTTCCTATTAACCAGGCCTCTGCCACATTAAGACCCAGCCCCACTCCCCTCCCCCCCTCCGTTGCCCTGGCTTCACCAGAAACGAAACCAGGGAACTGTGACTGAGACCCGGCTGCTGGCTGAACCCTGTCTTGTGCACCAGGCTTTGGTGGGGTTTTTCCTTAGTGTGGCCACCTGTCCATGGCTTTGCAAATAGGATGTAGCTGTGACCAGTGCCCCAAGTGAAAGATGAACCACTTGAGACCCAGGGGGTGTCGGCTCCTAGCAGATGTCCTGGTCTTCAGCCTCCCAAGCCCTCCAATCTTCTGCCAAGGGGGTCCCCATCTCCTCATGGTCATTGTAACTGAATGTCCACCGGCGTGTGGTCAGTGCTCACAGGCGCCGAGTGCTGTCCTTGTGGCCCACACCTTGGCCCTGATCACAGCCTGCAAACAGGACCCCTTTCAAGGAAGTAGTTCCATGAAAATGATTAACCTTTTCCAAAAGACTGTTTCAACTCTTCCCCATTTCAATGAGTGTTTTAAAAAGGAAGCGCCACCCAAAGAGAGAAGAGGCCCCAGCCACGTGGCTCAGGGGGTTGGAGTGTGGTCCCAACACGAAGTTGCGGGTTCGATCCCTGGTCAGGGCACACATAGGAATCAACCAATGATGCATGAATGGGTAGAACAGCAACCTGATGTTTCCCTCTACCTTGCTCTTCCCAAAAATCAGCTAATTGAAAAAATTAGAAAATAAAGAGGGAGGAGAGGTGGTCTGGACAGGTGGCCCTGCTGGGGATCATCTCACAGGGCTCCACAGCAGCATCGGGAGGCCTGAGAACACAGCCTAGTCTCCAGGCAGCAAGCTCCCTATTCTCACAGCAGCTCGATGCCGTCCCTGAGGCCTGGCTGTGCTGGAGAGATGGCTGTGGGGTGCTCTCCTGATCAGCAGCAATGTGGTGGGCGTGCACCAGGCCTGTGATCGGGATTGCTTCCTGCACCTAGTACCCGTGAGGGCAGAGCTGGGGCAAGAGCGCTGGGAGATGTACTCTGCAGGAGTGGTACTCGGAAGGCTTGGCCACACGAAAGGATTCTGGGGATGACAACCTGGCAGAGCCAGGTCTGAAGGGCCAGCCCTTATCCATCACCTGCAGGAGTAAATGCTATAGGACCTCAGGTGGACAAGGTCTAGTGGGGTCCTGGGAAGCAAGGGGGCCTCTCCATAGGCCCCCAATCCTTGGAACAGCTTCATGCGGGAGGGAGAGAGGGCAAGTGGCTTGGACACATTGACCCCCCACTAGGGAAGCCAGGGCCCCCTCACATCTGCAGTGGTAACCTGTCAGAGACTGGCCCGGTGGCACATGTGGGAAATGAGCCCTTGCCAGCAGGGACACAGGACTCCCCGTCTGGGCCCCCAGACAGCGCGGGTCAGGTCCCAGGCTTCTCTCCCAGGGCTCAGAGTGGGTTCAGCTGCAGGGGTGGCATGGATCTGCTTGTTTCACGGAGTCCAGTTCAGCCCAGTCTTCAAGCCTCAGACAAACTGGGACAAATTGGGGACCTTGATGTTGAGGTCGCCGATGTTGATGTTCCGTGGAATCTCTGGCAGGTTGATGTTTTTCACGGCAGACACAGCCCGGGCAGGGGCCGCTGAGAGGCCACCCTGAGGAGAAATGAGAGGTAGGCGTGAGATGAACCCCCAGTGTCACCAACTTAATGCTCAGAAACACCAGCAACGGAGGCCTCAAGAAAGTCCAACCTGAGCATGCACAAGGCCAGCTCTGCCTCCCTCCTCTCTCATAAGCCAACAACTCCATCTTCAGGTGAGGTGGGGCTGGGGTAACAGGGACTAGACCCCAGCTCCTGAAGGTCATGGCTTACGCTGCTTTATTGGCCCAGTTCCTCCCAGCGCCCAGCCCACAGCCGGTGCTCAACAAATGCTTGTGAAAATAATACGAGACAGTTTAATAACCAAGCTACACTCAGTATCAGGCACTTTTAAGATTACAAAACAAAGCAAAACCCTTTCCTCGAGACTGAGGGATCTTATAAACAAGCGCAGTCACGGGGAGATTTTTACAAGGAAAACGAATGTCACGGCTCAGGGCACCTGCTGGCCAACTAATAGTGTGAGATGGAAAAGGACAGACGGTCTAAATGTCATGTGGCAACAAGGTGGGAGGAAGGACCAGCAGGAGGCTGGGTGGACCCAGACCTGCAGGGACTGGTAACAGACTCAGACGGTCGAGGCGTCTACAGCCAGCCCGCACCCTCTAGGCTCTTGCCGCTGTGCAGAGGGGGAGATGCTGTGCACAGAGGGGGAAATGTTGACAAGGACCCTCAAAATCCTTCCCTCCTCCCTGTCCACCTTCTGGATCCTGAGCCCGATCCAGCCCTCACCCAGCAAGTCTCCATTTCTTCTGGTTTCCAGCCCTCTCGCCTGAGTCACTGACTACTTCTGGAAGCCTCCCAGCCCGTGTTTCTGGAACTGCAGTTGCCACAATAGCTGTGGTCTGGAAGAGCTCTTCAGCAGGACTGCCAGTCCTCACTCACAGAAACAAGCACCCCTGCTTTCGCAAGACCAAGTTCCGTTGCAGAGCAGGGAAGCTGTTCAAGGCACTGGAAAGTTAAAGCGGCAACTTGTTCTGCGACTTTTGCAGCATGGGAAGGTGGCCGACCCCTGTAACCTCTCCTCGCCAGCGAGGCTGATGAGGTGACGGAGACCCCGGGGGGACAGGACGGATTCACTGGGAGCTCCTGCACTATGTGGGAGTGGCGGGGGGTGTTATTGTCAGACCCAGCCCAAACTCCACAGTGGCTTTTTATGAGGCTAACTGGAAACAGGAAATTGGCAACTCCGAGGTATGAAAGACGCCACAGGAGTGGCTGCTGGGAGATCAGGCTTGTCTAGCACATGAAATGGAAACCACCCTACAATCAGAGAAGGGCGCTGGGCCCTTTGTGTGGCGTGGAGAGGAAGAATTACAAGCCACAAAACACGGCCATGTGTTGTGTCCCGCCCCCCTCCCCGAGCTGCTTGTCTTCCCCACCATCTGGCTTTCCCATGCACACTTTCAGCCTCATTCCTACCTGGCCTTTAAATCTGTGAGCTCTGAGGGACTCAGCGAGGAAAGAAGGTGAGTGTGAAACATCCCTAAGGCTCCACAGCAGCACAAACCAGCCCTGTACCTACCCACGCCCCCTCCTGCCCAGCTGCTCCTGCACCAGCCAGGGCCGAGTACAGCTGTGCACTCACCTCCGACTTCTCCAGCCTGTTCTGAGCCTCAATCTGAGCCACGATCTCATTCATGTTTGTCTCCAGCACCATCCCACCCATCACCACCTCCTGCAGGATGTAGTGCACCTAAAGGGAAGCAAAATAGGAAAGGTCAGAGCACTGTGGCAGTGCGTGCGGCCCATAGGGTCCCTTGCGAGTGCTCCCACAGCAGCAGGGCGTGGGACCTGACACAGCTCCCAATCCACAACGGACATCCAGGCCCCTGGATCATCCACCTCTCACGTGACAGGCGGGCATCATTTCTTTGAGTGGAGACAGAGGGGACCTAAGAAAAGTTGGGGGTACCAAGCGCAGGTGTGGGGAGAGGGCAGCCAAGAATCAACAGTAAACTGTGTCCCTAACAAACTGGAGATGCAGCCAGATCATAAGGATGGTCTTGTTCAGTGACAGCCGCTGATGGATGGGTGATCTTGACGGGTCAAGAGGAATGTGGGTATACACCTCAGAGAGCCCCGAGTTAAAGGACCAATGTGAAAAAGGGAGGCAGGGGAAAATGAAACCTGAAATCTGAGTCGGGTGGGTGGCAATAAAAACCACACAAGTGGAAGAAAGCCACTAGGTAAAGGTCCTCAGAAGCCCTAACCCCAGCCCAAAACAGTGCACACTGAGCAAGTACAAACTGCTGAGCAATAATAATTCACAACATTTGCTATTCCAGCAAGCACCTAAAACCGTGACACCAGCAAAACTCGTTCAAGTGTCCAGAGAACAGAGGAGCTACACACTCCAGAGTTCCTGGCAAATGCACTGGAGATTCGGTCCAGGAATAATCACAACCAGGAACAGCTTCATTTGAACATAAAGATGAGATAATCCCAATAAACTGCAGGTCACCTTGATGGGAGGCGAAGGCAATGGGGAAAATGCTCTCGGTGACAAAGCTGAAATCTCAACAGGGGAAATGCTGGGTGGAAACTATGTTTTACAAGCCCAAAGTACATACATTTACAGCCACACTTCATGACTGAAAGTGGGAGTTTATAATTCTGTCCTAATAAAATTTTTCTCTTAAAACCCTTCAAAAGTAGGAATGATTGCTAGAGTCGAAACGTCTACCCCGCTGCAGGCAATCTAACCCGTTCAAGCCTCTATCCCCTCCTCCCCACGCGTCTGGGCAACTGGTGTCCTTCGTGCTTCTTTTCCAGGGAGCTGTCCCGTCGTCTCCGTCTCAAAGGTACCCGCTTCTATAATCGGGTCTACCGGGCATCCACCTTGGCCCCCACTCCTCTTTCCTGTCAACAGAAGGCAACTGCTTGAGCCCTTCCCCGCCTCACCCCCTGGAGGCAACATGAATGTTCTGACCAAGAAGGGGACCTACGAGCTGGAGCCCTGGGCTCTGTTGTAGGCACAGAGGAAACAGGGAGCGAGCGTGGTGCATGCCGAGGAGCTGACGGTGCTCAGGCCCAGTGGGGCTCCTGCAGGGTGTGCCTCACCTATTCGGAGGAGCTGAATCAAACAGCAGGTGCACTGTGAGCTCATGCACATGGAAGAGAAGGACCACACTGGGAGCCACTGGAGGAGAGTTATGTGACCAGGTAACCTGCTGGAACTTCCCAATGGAAAGAGCGCACCTCTGCAAACTGAAGCAGGGCCAGTAGTGCGGCTGACTCCGCCGCCAGGGCCAATCCTAACCCTCACACCTCCTACCACTCGTCAAGGGGATCTTACTGAGCAGTTCTGCAAAAATCAGAGACCTCATTCCAGGATGAGGTGCTAAGCACCCAAGGCCTGGGCCAAGCAAAGTCAAGAATGGCTGAGGACAGGCTGAGACGACTGCCCTCCTCTCAGCGACGCTGCTGTGCCTGTGATCATCTCCACGCGGCACTCAACCCAGGGCACTGCTCTATTTTCACCTGTCTCTTCTCTGCCACCTTGGTTTTCTTGGAGGGCAGATCTCAAGTTTAACAAAGAGCCGGCGACCACTAATAGAAGATCCAGTCTCCCATATAAACAGCCAAGTGTGGACAATGTTTCTATCCCCTACTGGCTCGGTGAGTTTTATTAATTCCTAGGAAGGGGCTCCTGAGAGTAAGGGGGGGAATTTGTGGTAGGGGAGTACAAACCACCTCCTAGTCCTTGCTAGAGGGTGTGGTGGTTTGTTAATAATCCAAGGGCACCGGGGACCCTTTAAGAGGGAACAGTGGCAGGGGAAGAGGAAATTATATGAATCATCTTAGCTCAGAGTCGGTCTCTAGTTCCCACATTATCTGTTTTTGAAAGAAATGGAAGAGGAAGAGCATCGAGATGCCTCCAGAGACCAGGTAGAGAAGCCTCCCCCACACTCTCACTCTCGTTCCAAAGTCCAATGTCTTATCAGTGTTTCAAGTCATGCTGAGGACTGCCTGTCCCCACGTGTCGCCCTTTATCTCACATGAAGATGTGGAATGAGATTCAGGCCCCGTCGGCCGAGTCTCTGCAGGCCCAATTACCATGAACAAAACGGGTGCAGAGAGCAGCGCCCAGCACACCTGGTCCCGAGAGGTTGACTTTCTAGCCAGGGACGAGTGACACGCTGAGATGCCCTGGGGAACTCGAGCATGCGGGGCTGTCTGGCCCCCAGCAGCTCTGCCAAAGCAGAGAAAACAGTGTGCTGTGTGTGCAAAGCTCCATCTTTTCTTTTTCCTGCTGTCAGTGTCTCCTGAACTACGTTTATGACCTCCCCTGGTCTTCAGGCTGGACACCTCCACCATCTTCTCCAGATGCCTTCTTGCCATGAAATCCCTAAGACTCCATCCCCAGCTCCTGATATTCTTTCCTCTCTGTCGCTCACGAGGTTGTACATTCTTTCAGTGCAGCGCACACGAATCTAGTGGAGCCGTCTCACATACAATTGGGTTTTAAAGTCACCAAGTGAGAAGAAATCAGCCAGGACCCCTTATGTCACCCACATGGTCCCAGCGGCTCATTTTCCCTCCATCAAGGAAACTGCTTCTCTTCTCCAGCTGAGCACTAGACGGAGCGAGTGGTTTGTCCGGGGACCACACAGATGGAAAACATGCCTTGTACCTTTAAGCACTAACATTGCAGGCACAGTGTCATGCTCACGACAGGCAAGTGACAGGCAAGTGACAGGCACGGGAGAGCAGAGGCGAAGAGCCCATTCAAACCTCCCGTCTCACTCAGGCCCATGCTGAATGAGTAGAGCTGTGGGCAGAATCACTCTATATTTAGAATTTTTAGACTCTCTCTTCTTGCCGAGTGACTTGAGCTGAATCTGCACGAGTGAAATCATACACGTGAGCCCACTGGACCCACCAGACACAAGAGAGTGGGTCAGGACCCAGGCTTCCACTCACTTTCACCGAGAGAGTGTGACATGCAACAACGTCTACTGTGAAGTGTGCTTCGCGTGGCAGGGTGGTAAGGGCTGGAAGGATGTGGAGATAAGAGGTGGACCTTGTCCTCCCAGAGCTTACACTCAAGTACAGGACATAAAGCCTGCGGGGCATTAGCGGTAATAAAAGGAAGGCTGTGATATGTGCCGTGGCCCAAGGACAGAATGCTGCAAAAGTCCAGAGAAGGGTGGGCCTTAGCCTAATGGTCCATGGAGGAGGGAGTGACCGGTTTCCCAGCAACTCATTAACTAACTATTCCTGGGCCCTGGTAACAACTTTATTGATAAAAGGCCACTTACTCCCCCCCTCTGCATAAGGACAGCTGACTGTAGCCAAGTGCACTCGCAGCATAGCATTCTTCCTTCTTAAAAAACAAACAAATGAACGAATTCCTATTAGGAGCCCGAGTTCCCTGAAGCAGGACTTTTTTTTCTCGTCTAGTGTTCCACCCGCCCTTGCTTCCTGCCTGTTTGCCGTGCTGGTCCCAAACGCCAAGCACAGCGCCGGGTAAGGAACGCGACCCAGGCCCTGTTCTCCTGAACCCATCCTCTCTCTGGCTGCCTGTGCACTAACAACACATGGTCCCAGCCATCTCTTTCTACACTGAGGATGCAAAGGCAGGAGAGGACACCCAGGGCCCCGCACAGGCATGGAGCCCTGCGTCTGAATTCTGTCTCTGCTACTTACTAGTGTGTGGCCTTAGAGAAGCAAGCGTCCTGGCTCTAAACCTCAGTTTCTTCATCTATACAATGGGGAGACTTGAGTCCCTACCCAATGCCAGTTCTAAAACTAAAACAGGATGGTGCAGCTATTATGTGCCTGACACTTAAGTACCTGATGGCTACTAGTTGATGGAGTGACTGCAATCAGTCTTCTGGACCAGCCTCCTTCCCAACGCAGGGACTTATCCTTTGGCTCCTTCACCTCGGTGTAGAGAGCTCATGCTGTTCCCGAGCTGCCTGGTCTACTGAGCAGCAGCAGTGACCATCGGGAAGCTTTCTACTGAGCTGCAATGTGCACGGAGCCATGTCCATCCCTGGCCAGGCCTGTGCCCTCCCTACCCGCCATCCTGTGATCTACATCCCGGGATGCCATCACTCACCCTAATCTGACCACAGGGCAGGCAGTCAGGGAGGTGAAGCACAATTCATTTGGCCATCAAAAAAAATTTCCAAATGCCATAAAGCTGTTTCTGAAGAGATAATCTCCATTCCATGCTTCTTGGAAAAGCCTGGGGCCCACCCCGCCCTCTCTAGCCCTTCACTTGAGGAATCGAAACCTTACAAAGCTGTGCCCTCCTTGCAGACTATAAATAGTTCAGTGTTTCTGCAGCACAAAGTCCAAGGCAGGGGATATCAAGTGGTGTACAGAGAGGCTCGGTGCTGGGGAGAGAGCTGGTGAAAGTGTCCCCGCTTTGGGCCGGAAAAGGAGCAGTGGGCTNAGCGAGAGGTGGGGGGTGTACAGAGAGGCTCGGTGCTGGGGAGAGAGCTGGTGAAAGTGTCCCCGCTTTGGGCCGGAAAAGGAGCAGTGGGCTAGAAGCCCAGGGGTCAGGCCCCATCAGCAGGGCATCTTCCCCTCCTTCCCTGAGGTTTCCACAACCAGCATTACACATAACCCTTGTGGGTAAATTCAGGTGCACTGATTCTGAAAACCTAAAGGGACGTACTTGTTTAGTGACTGGGGGGGAAACCCAGAAAGTGCTCAGCTCCAGGCTAAGACGTGACTTCCCTT